CTCATGGCGCCGTTGCTGTCGCCACCGCTACCGCCGCCGCGTCCGCCGCCGCGCGATCCGCCGCCGCCGCCGCCGCCGCCGCCGCCCTCACTGCCGCCACTGCTGCCGCTGCCGCCCTCGTTGCTGCCGCTGCCGCCAGACACCTCGCGCGCAGCCGCGCCGCCTGCTGCGTCCACCTCGGCCGGCGGTTCGGCGGAGGTGGACGTGGATGGGGAGGAGGAGAGCGCCTCTGGCGACGTCATCCGGTCCCCAGCCGCACCCACCTCCTCCTCCTCTGAGGCCGCCGCCGATGGTTCGCCGTTGGAGGAAAACGCTTTGGCGCCTCTGCCGCCGCCGATGGTTCGCCGAATTTCGCGCAGCTCGCGGACGCCGTCGCGGCTGACGGTGATGATGTGCACGCGCTTCTCGTACGCCTTGCGCGGCGCCTTGGGCTTCCTGCTTCGCCGACCGCCTCCCGCCCAACCCGTCCGCCTCCGCTTCTTCACAGGTGAGACATCGCCGCCGCCGCCGCTGCGGCCGCCACTGACCGGGCGGCCGAGGATGGCGGCGGCCTCCGCCTCCGCGTCGGGAGACTCGATCAGCGACATCGCCGCGTACACCTTTGGCGCGTCGATCCCCGGCAGCAGCACATCGGCGCTGTCTGGACACCCGGTGGCTTCGACCTCAGAGGTCGCGTCCACCCAGCAGCTGCGCTCGGCGCCGTAGCCGAGCCAGTGCACCCAAACCTGCCCGCGGCGCAGGGACTGACAGGAAGAGACGAGGGCGAGCTCGTCCTCCATTATATACGCAAGACCCTCTCCAACGAGCTTGCGGCGCTGGGGGAGACAAGAGGTTATCGCTGTTGGTGTGACTGCCGAGGATCGAGGACGGGCTGTGCAAAAAAAGAATTTTTTTCATGCGCCGCGATGAACGTGGAAATTCAGCCGTCCTCCCATCCCTCCCTTGGTCTGTTTTCTTTCTTTCTTTCTGGAAATTCAGCTGTCAGAATAATGTCACGATGCATCCGAAGGGGACTCCAGCGCCGGCATCATCCGTAGAGGCACGAGTGTTCGAAGAGAGAGTGGACCTGAGCAACAACATGACCTGGAGGCAAATGATCGGAGTGGGAGTCAGAAATGTGGTCCTTGCGGGAGGGGAGCTCGATAGACTCGAGGGGCCAGGATATGCAGCACCGCCCTGCGGTCTTTGTGCAGGGTTCTTTGTGGGTGTGGTCGGCGACTAGCCGGGGTCGTCCTCCCGATGGGGGACTAGCACTAGCCGTCTTCCACATGGTCCCTCGGGTCCCTGCTGCTCCTAATCTCTTCGTACATCCTCCTGCTGATCTCCGCAACGTCCTGCTCCCTCCCTCGTCTCGCCCTGCGCGTTTGCTCCGCCTCACCGTCGTCTGCCCTGCGTCGTCTGGTGACGGGTCCTCCATAGTCGGTTGAGGTCGCCGCCCTCCTCGTGCCTCTTCCCAACGTTCCCTCGGCGGTCGATGCCGTTCGGTCCGCCTCCGCCGTCCCCGGGTCTGCCCTGCCCTCGTCTGCACTAGCTTCTGTTTCGTCATCACTGGCGCCTCTCCTCTTCCCTCTCCCCTTCTTGTATGCTTTGCACATCGCTCATCGCGTCGATTCCTTTTCGCGTGAGCACCACCCTGAAGCTCGCCCAGCAGCTGAACCGCTCCCTAAGTCGGAGGAGCATCATCAGTCTCACCCACTTCGCTCGCTGCCCACTGTCTCCGCTCCCTCCCGCTTGAGCTGCCTCGCGGCCCTCGTTCGTCCCACTGGCTGCTGGCCTGTCTGCACGTTGCCTCCGTTATCCCTCCTCCTCCGCGACTCCCTCAAGGCCGGGCGGACCTCCTTCCACCCAGCGAAGAGCTTCCTGGAAAGAGGAACTTCCTCAGCCACTCGATGTGTCCTCTCTCTTCATGGCTTTTGGTTACAAATTTACGGACTTACGGATTTAGAGCCGTAATACGGATCGGGGCCCCCCTCCCTCCCCGTCATCCCTGCTCTAGCGGAAATTTTCTGTATATCGTGAATGATCGCCGAGTATCGCCTAATATCGCGCAATATCGCGCAATATCGCGCAATATCGCGCAATATCGCGCAATATCGCGCAATATCGCGCAATATCGCGCAATATCGCGCACCCTCGCCCCGGCGGCGGTGACGGTGACGGTCCGAGCATTTCTTTGTTTTCCGGTCGCGCTTTCCCTTAGGGTACCCCTAGGCTTAAAAGGGTGGGCCCTGGGGCGCCTGCGGCTTAAACGGCTTAAAACCTGCCATGGCAGGTTTTAAGAGCTGCTGGGCCGCCGATTCCTTAAACGGTCTTAAACGCTTAAACGGTGCGGGAGAGCTCCCGAGAACTGTCGATGGTCCGGGAGGCTCCCCGGTAGACGCCGGAGGCCGGGAAGCTGGCTACAGTCAGCTGGCACGCGTCCCCTATGCGAGTATGGCTCCCGCCAGTGCACCAGACTTACAGATGTGTCTTCAGTGGCGGGTTCGTGCCTAATAACGGCAGTATTGGAGAAACCGGCGTGGAACCCGGCGACGCATGCCGGCGAGGCCGATTTTCTTAAACGGACTTAAAAGAGGGACCCCCCGTGCCTGCAATCTCTTAAATGACAATTTGAGCCCCCAAACCTCCTCATTTCTTAAAAGGTCTTAAAACAATCCGGCCCTCAGAACCCTAGGGGTACCCTAAGCGCTTTCCCGCCGCCCACCCGCACCTCTCTCGCACTTTCGGCGCCCAGGACTGACACGTGTAACGCTTCACGCGCGTCGCTGAGGCGTGCTGTGAAGGGCTCGCGTGATCGCGAGCATCGCACAACATCGCCATTTATCGCATTTTATCGCCAAATATCGCGCGGTATCGCGGTTGCGATATTGTGAAAAATTTTCGCTAGGGCAGGGCTCCCGTCCACCGCGCCCCGGCCGTGAGACGCCCATCTACGAATCAAGTTGGTGCCGGAAGCACAATACACCCACAACTGACCACACGCCGCCCCCGGGCTCTCACAAACACTTGTCGTGCAGCTCCTATCATCTCCGCTCGGATCATCTCCCAGGGGGGGCGGTGCCACAAATATCACACGCTCAGACGCGACACGGCTCGACAGCGCCGGGCCCTAGTACGTACGGCGATTGTACAGGAGAGAGGAGTGTACAGCGAGGCTCGGCCCTCCCGTCGAGGGCTTACCGTTCTCGCACCTTGCCGGGGGGAAGAAGAGGGGGGGGGGGGGGAGAGGCCCGGGCGCCTCTGGCTGACAGCGCGGTCGACGACGGCGGAGGCGGCGAGGAGCGCGGGCTGGTGCCTCATGCCTCGGAGGGTCGCCGCGACCATGCTCGGGTAGATCGCGTCCCAGATCCCGTCCGAGGCGACCACAACCTCGCAGCCCGCCGCAGGCACGGGCACTGTCCGCACGTACGGCGTGGGAAGAATGAACCTGCCGACGTCGGCATCGCCCACGCTGCGCGCCTGCGCGACGCCGCCCGGCCACAGGCGGAGGGGCCCCGCCGGGTCGCCCGCGCGGTTCTTCGCGTGCGCGAGGTGCCCCCCCATCCCTCGCACGCGCTGCCTCTCCGGCTCGGAGGAGTCGAGCCGGTGGTCCTCGGTGAGGCGGCTGGGGCTGCCGGAGCGGGGCACGAGCCACGCCTCGGAGTCGCCGAGATTGCACACGCTGAGCTCGAGCCGCGCCAGGTTGAGCGCGACGATGGTGATCGTCGAGCCCGCAGTCGTCATCCCAACCACCTCCTCGTGCATCCGCTCGCACGCTGCCACGCCCGCGCGGAGCAGCGAGGGCGCAGACGGGTCGCCCGCCGCAGAGGCGAGGTAGCAGTCGAGCAGGTGGTCCCTGCAGTGCCGTGAGGCCTCCCCTCCTCCGTGGCCGTCGGCCACGAGCATGACGACCACCTCCTCCCCCCCCCATACCAGTCTTCGCGAATCGAAGCAGTCTTCGCCCTTCAAGTCGCGCTGCGCCTCAGCGCACTCGCACGTCCAAGGCGGCAGCAAAAGAGGGAGGGGGCTGACGCCCTCGCTGCACGTGTCGCTCGAGGAGAGCGGGAGCGGGTCCGTCCCATCCCTCAAAATTTGCTTGTCGGGTGGCCGCCCCGGTCCCCTGTCCTCGCCTTTGAGACTCTGACAATGAGGGAGGTCGCCTTTGAGGCCGCCTTTGAGAGGTTTGATCGGAGAGGGGGGGCGGGCGGGCGCGGGCGGCGGCGCGACGGCCGCCATATCGCCAAACCCCCCCAGCTGGTCTCTCTCCGCCTTGTGGGGATTTCCCACCTCCGACACAGCAGTGGAGACGCCAGGCGCATCTAGGGCGCGATAGAGCTCTATCTGTTTTGGGCTGGTCGGGCTGGGTACAAGCTGCTAGGCCGGGTTTGAGCACCGACGAACCGATCGCGGAGATTCAGCAGTAAATAAATAAAGAGCTCCATGAAGCATGATGAGCGACGCACGAACACAGAGGCAGTCTACAGCGTGCACCCCGCCCCGCCCGCTCGCAGGGCGTCTGGGCGTGCATCACAGAGACAAAGCACAACAGGCACTCTGCATGCACATTCCCCCCTCTCCATCATCTCACTGGGAGACGTCGGCGGTGGTGGCGGTGTGACCGATCGAGCTACAAGAGGAGCTTGTTCAGCAGGATCTTTGTACTCGTTTATTCACGAGGCGACCCCGAACCGTGGGTGGTTTAGGTTCCCTACCCAAGCTCAATTTTATATACCTACTGTGTGAATTCGCGGAGCGAGGAAAATTTTATACGGAATACGTCCATCCATTTTTGGAGCTTGGAATACGGCGTATTCCATGGAATACGTGGAATACGGGTGGAATACGGCAGAATACAGGCCTCTGGGAGGTCATTTGGAATACGTGGAAAACGTATTCACACAGTAGGTTTATATAGCAGGGCCCGCCACCTGCAATCTCTCGCGGAGACATTGCAGGCGCTCGTGCGAGCCCTACCGCATCCGAAAGTCGCAACTGAGGCGGCGGGACCCCGTGGTGACCCAGTGGAGCACTCCTTCGCCACTCGTCATAAGTTTTTTCGGTTATGTCCGATGGGAGCGGGCCGCCAAAACGCTCTCGACGAGAGCCACAAGAAGCCGTTCGCACACAGCGTCGGAGAGAGAGATTTTCAGCGTCGGTCGAACACGTTGCTAATAAATAAATAGAGCGGGCATCTCCTGGGGAGATTGGGCAACAACCCGACTACGGGCAGACCCCGCCCCGCTCGGGAGGGCGTGCAGCACACAGCAACACAAGACATTGCTCCTTCATGCCGGCGGCGCTCGCAATTCTTTAAATTTGCATATGCGGCGTCTGGCGTACTAAGGCATTTCTGCACCCCACCTTGCGTCCGGGCTGGTCTTCGTCGTCGGCGGAGGCGCAGGCGGACAGTGGCTGAGGCGGACGCGCTGGCGGCTCCTCGGCCACCATGCCGTGGCCCTACCGCAGCGCCCAGGCCGTCAAGATCCAAGGGGGGACGGTGCCGGTCAAGCCAGATAAGCAGGCTCTGCTGGACGGCGTAAAGGCAGCGTATACGCAGGCCAAGCAGAACGCGGATGCCGCCGCGGCGGCGGCCGAGGATGTTGCCAACGCGATGAAGCAGCTGGAGGATGACGAGGAGCTCGCGCTGCTTAGAACCGACAACAAAGCCGCGATCAAAGCCTTGACGGCCGAGGAAGCAAAGAACGCACTGAACATGCTGCACCCGGACACTCTGGACACCGCGGCGGCGCCGATGGGTAACCTCAAGGTCATGCCGACCGACATCCTGCCGTTGGCGTTGTGCGACCAGGACTGGGTGGATGAGATGGGGAAGGTAATCATGGCGGACGGCCGGCCGTATCTCACCACGTACCAGCACGATCAGCTGGTGTGCACTCGGAGCACCTCGAGTGCGATCTGCTCCCTCCACCCGCGCCACAGACCGGGCCTGCCGCTGTCGAATAGGTGCCCTTCTGCATGTGGTGGACCATCTCGCGCTTCCCCGAGTTCCAGGGCCAGCTTGCGGCGAGCGAGATGCCGTGGAAGGTCCCGTGCCATACGCTTCGCCCCCCCACCCCTCGTGTGTGGTGTGGAGAACCTGACGTTGCCTCGCCTTAGGCCGTCCCGGACGATGACGGCCACGTCCTCGGCCGGCCCTTCGCTCCCCAGCCCATGCTCGCCTCGCCGTTCCAGAACTTCCCCCTCGTGATGCCTTGGATGGGCTGTCGCTGCGCGTGGCCCGTCTCTCAACTTGGGTACTACTCCATTTGCTGGGCGCGCGCGCGAGAGAGAGAGAGAGGAAGCGCGCGACGGGAATCTCCACAATACGCTGTGATCTGCACCTCTTGTGTGACAACTCACTGGTGTGAGCGCCCCCCCCCACACACACACACATCCCGAGTTGAGACGTACCGCACACACCGTGACACCGTGCAGTCTCATACGACTCTTGCAGTCTCATGCGACTCAAGCCACTCGATCTCACCCCACCCCGCTCTCGCCCGGTGACGCCTTCCACGGGGCTTGCGCTTTTAATGCCGTGGGACTCCTTCTAGACGTGGAGTCGCGAGGGTCGCCCCCCCCCCAAGGTGTATGTGTGGAGAAGCTCCTTTTCTTTCCTTACCTTCACAGGCGTGCGGTCTGAGCAAGTGGGTCGCGCTGGCGGTCGAGATCATCATCACCTGTATGGAGCTGCTCTACCTCGACACGCTCCTCCTCCTAGAAGCGGAACACGGAGTCTTGTATTCCAACGAGCGCTCGAGAGGACACGTATCCGGATGCCCCCCGACATCTCATAGAGCCGCGCTCGCCTCTGGAGAGCCGCGCTCGCTGCGACACCTCATACCTCAAACCGGATGTATTCAGCTGCTCTCACTGTCTTCGTATATCCCTCGTGTTCACACGGTGCTCTGAGTACTCTGCACGAGGCCGTCTTCCCGCCCTGAGGTCGGTGTGCGTATCCACCGCGAAGGCTCCTCATGCAGCGCTTCTACCAGTACGCGCCCAACTCGCGCTCCTGGGACTACATTGCCAAGCAGCGCTCGCCCCTCACCATCCGCGTCACTGAGGCGAGAGGGGTGGGGGGGCGAGTTCAGGGGGGGGGGGGGGGGAAGCACATTGACCTCAGTGGGTCTCTCCTTCCCAGGTGGTGATTGACTTCATCTTCATGCCCCTATTCATTGGTGAGCGTCCTCCCTCTGCTCTTGCACTCTGCTTCCGCTGTCTCCGCGTCCCGTGTGCTCTTACTCCAACGTACCCCCGACCCGCCAGGACTTCTCGCGTTCGGTTCCGACTCCAGCAAGAACCTCAACTACTTCGAGACGAAGACGATGTACCGCATCCTGCTGCGCTCTCTCTCGACAAAGGAGGCGGGGCAGACCTTTGCCTACTGCACCCTCGTCACGTGGTCTGTGCTCACCGAAATCGGGTCTGTGATCTTCCCGGTGAGCGTATATAGAGGACGGGCCGTGGGCGGATCCGGCCTGCGCACTCTGGCCCACTCGCCCGGTTGCGCACTGCAGGCGTACATCACCTTTATGGCGCCGGTGATCTTCCACGTCGTCTACTCGGGCGAGGTGCTCACAGACATGGCCAGCTTCATCCTCCTCTTTAATACGATCTTCGAGTTCGAGCAAAAGGCGTGTACCTCCCCGCTTCTTTGCTTCGCCGCCTCCCCGCCTTCTCGCCTCCCCGCCTCCCCGCCTCCCCGCCTCCCCGCGCCTCCCCCGCCTCTCCGCTATCCCAGCGGGATCCCGACAAGCGCGCCACGCGTCCATACTGCACTACGCCCGTCCTACAAGCTACACACACGCACAGACACCCACACCGCTCACCCACGCGCACCGGGCCGTGCACTTTGAATGCCGTGGGGCTCCTGTCTTGTAGACGTGGAGTCGCGAGGGTTGCCTGGCCCTTGCCCCACCACCTTGTGTGTGGAGAAGTTTACCTGAACTGACCTTAACTCACCTCCCACAGGCTCTCTGGCTCGTGCAGTTTGCCGCGTGTCTGACCGAGGAGCAGCGCACCCTCACCACCACGTTCGTGCAAGGGCATCGCGCGAAGGCGGAGATCCGCGCCGTCAACCAGGCGTACCTCTGGTTCGCCTTTATCGTCATCTTCTCCATCTTCCTCACCTTCAAGAGCTGGTTCTCCATCCTCTGGATCTGGGTCATTCCCTTCTCGATGCTCTACTACACGATGGTGACTCCTCTCAGTCTCCCACACCGCTTGAGTAGTAGAAGTAGGCAACCTTAGTTCCTGAGCCTCTCCTACCGCGTCCTCTCCCCGCCGCGCCCTCTCCCCCGACGCATCCCCCCCCCCCCCCCCCCCTCCAAACAGGTGATCCACTCCGTGCCGTACTGCATGAATGGGTGGACGGCCTGCCCGGGGCACACGATGCCGTGCATGTGCTTGACCTTTGCGCTGACGTCGCTCACCATGTTCAGCCTCTTCATCCTGAAGCACGGCTGCTTCATGTTCCCGTGCCTCTGCAAGGAGGAAGTGCGCGGCTGGCGCCCTGTAGCACTTGCAGCCCTGCCACCCACGCCCCACCTCGGCCCAGCCACCTCGGGCCATCTCCCACCTCGGGCCACCTCGGGCCACCTCGGGCCACCTCGGGCCACCTCGGGCCACCTCGGGCCACCTCGGGCCACCCACGCCCCACCTCGGCCCCGGCGGGCGCCTCGCTGAAGCCCTGTCGTGGCGCACACACTCAGCGGTGCCGCCACCTCTTCGCCCCCACCCAGGTCCCCGGCTGGCTCTTCTTCCCCTCCTCCACGGCGCTCACCTCGCCGCTGCGAGGCATCTTCGAGACGTCTTGAACGAAGATTCAGTTAACTATCAATTGTGACAACGACTACTACGACTAGGTATCTTCGACGTCAACCTGTGGTTCTTCGAACGGCCCGTCACGCGGCTGATCGACTGGTTCACCGCAGCCGCGTGGGACGACGACTGCCGCTGGGAGCCGACGGCGAGCAGCTTCAAGTCGCAGGCCTTCATGTGGCGCGTGTGGCGCGTCACCGGCGCGCGCCCCCCTCGGGCCGGCGTCGGCTCTCTCCGCTCGACGCCGCAACGTCGCGACTGTTGCGACCTTAGGCATCGGCCCCGATGAGTGCCTCAAGCCTACATACGGCGGCTGCAGCGACCCGTGCGCGCGCCACGCCGCCCCGGGCGCGGGGCGATGCAGCACTGCCAAGCTGACGCCCGCTCGCCTGCGCCGCTCTAGGTGGGAGAGGGACGACACTCTGGCTGATGAGGAGGTGAACGGCGGCTCGCTGGGGACGCTCGGCGGCTTTGACAACCAGCGGCAGGGATGAGGCCCCCGGTAAGCGTCTTTTCTTTATGTAGCATTGGAGGTAGGTTAGGGCCAGCACCGCAGCGTGTGATGACCGTTGTATAGTGTGTACCATTTGGGCAAACGGCGCGCGATACGAAAAGGCGCAGGGCGAGGCGGATGGAGAGAAATAGGAGTACCGAAAAGGCACGAGTGGAGGAGGGTGGGTGGAGCTGGAGGGACCCTAGGTGCGCGGTGCGGACGACACGAGGGCGAGATGTCAGATGACGAGCGGCTTCGCAAAGAACGCTAGCTATATGGGAATGCGTCGTCTCTCGTGAAGGCTGGATTGACAAGCATACGAACAAACAATAGAGGCGACGGGAGGAGCCGGCAAAGTGGATGCAGTGACGTGACCCCCCCCCCCCCCCTCTCTCTCACACACACACAAATAACGGGCTCCAGGCCCCAAATGATGTGTGAGTGTTAGAGTTGTTTGGTATTGCTTAAAATACCTCTCTCTCTCTCACAACCCAAAGAAAGAGCAATCCAGCTGCATAGCGATGTAGGTGAGGTAAGGTAGCATGTCCCGCCCACACACAAATGCACACACGCGCCACCGTAGTGACACAAGAGCACTTGGAGCACTTGGAGTGCAAAGGAAAGAAAAGAAAACAGACAACCCAAGGGAGGGATGGGAGGACGGCACGCCGCCACCACACAGGGATTTTAAGGAGAGGAGTGTGGTGCTAGCCGTCGCCCACCCTTGGGAGTCTGCCTCTTCCTACTTCCTACTTCCTTACCTATCTCTCTTCGCAGTCCCTCGCCGATTCTCGCTGCAACCTTCATGCCACCTCGCGGTCGTCCCACTCTCGTCGTTCTCTCTCCTGTCGCTTCCTCCTCTGTCGCGTCGCTCTCATCTGCCTCGTTCTGCGACGACGACGCCCGCCTGCCGATCCCTTGCTCTCGCGGCTTCTCCCGCCTTCCGGCGCAACTCCGCTCTCCTCGCAGCACTTGGAGCACTGAGCTCCACTTGGAGTGCAGTCGGCAGCCTCACATCCAGGGCCGGGGAGCTAAGAAGCGCACCCAGCGGGCCAGATGATTGGCATCGGGTTACGGGCTAGAGAGCCCTAGCCCTGGGGGGTGCGCGTTCGCAGGGAAAGGGCCGTACAGTTAATGCGGTTCTCCGAGAGGGCTCCGTGTACCGTGTACCGGGTTTCCCCTTAACGCCCCACTGCCACTGCAGTCGTTTTTGATGTCTCTTCTTCTGAGGCGGCCTCTCCGCCCCGCCATGTCGGCTAGCCCCACTGGCCCCGAGGGAGCCGACGGCCCGGGTGGGGTCTCCCCGGGCGAGGGCGGCCCTCCCCGGGGGGTCGGGCTGCTCTCCCTGGTCGACGAATCGCGCCCGCATCCGGCGCGCTGGACGCGTTTTTCTTTTTCTCGGCGATGCCTGCAGAAGCTCTGCGCTGGCGAGCTCGGCGATTTCTCTCTCTCGCTGTGTTCGAGGACGCCCTTTCGGGAGAGCGAGAGAGTAGGGCGGGGCGATGCTCCTCGCGCTGACTCTCGTCTCGTCACGGGGCCTCACATCGCCGACCGCTCCCGTTTTCGCATCTCCGCTCCGCTGTGCTGGGGTGCGCTGCAGTGATCCCGAGCGGAAAGCGGTGTTCTCAGAGGAGCGTTCCGAGAGTGTCAAGGCTGGCGGTATCGCCTCGCTGACGGGCACGATGGCCTCCGCGCCTGTGAAGGCGTCGGCGGTGCTCGCGACGTTGCCCGTGAAGGCGACGGCGCTCGCCAGCTGGCAAATAAGCACGTGCGTCTTTGCGGTGCAGCTCTTTCTGTTTGGCATCGTCTACCGGTGCACGGTGCGATGCGACGACAACGACGCGCTCCGGCAGGGCGCGGTCGGCGCGGCGGCGCTGTGCCGTGCTCTCGGCCTCATGCAGACGAACAACGCATGGACGGGCGACATGTGGCTTCAGCTAGGACTCTCGTTTGGCGAATCGGCGCTCGCATTCGGTGCCCCCCCCCCCCCCCCTCTCCCCCGCCCCGCCGCCGCTGTCCACCTCCTCCCCGCGTCGCACACCGCACTCCTCATACCCGGCCGCGCCGCTTGTCGCTGCAACGACTCCTTTCCTCTCCTCTCCTCTCTCTCTCTCTCTCTCTCTCTCTCTCTCTCTCTCTCTCTCTCTCTCTCTCTCTCTCTCTCATACACCACCACCACCACCACCACCTGCCCCCCCGCCCCCCCGCCCCCCGGCGCCTTTTGATGCTGGTCACGCGTCTCGCCACGTCCCGCTTCAACACGCTCACGGCGGAATGCCTGCTCTGCGCAGGCGTTGCCGCCGCCGCGCTTCTACCGCGACGAAACGCCGCCCTTCGACTACCGAGACGGCTACCGGGACGGGTACGACGGCCCTCCTCCCTATGAGTACCCTGAGGACCTCGAGGACCCCGTCGTACGATGACGGCCGGCCTCGGCCTCTCCATGCGCCGCCCTGGCCTCCGCATGCGCCGCCCTGGCCTCCGCCCTCGCCGCCTCGGCATCCGCCAGCGCCGCCTCGGCCGCCGCCTCGTCCTCCTCGTCCGCCTCCGCCTCGTCCGCCTGGGAGAGCGGGGAGGCTGCAGCGGATCCACGCCGAGGCCGCCATGCCCATGCCCATAGCGCCACAGGAGCCACGGGCCGCCATGTTGAGCGAGCAGTCATGTTGCCGCGTGACGCCCGCATTTTTATCTGGCGGCTGCTTAGTCTAGACTGGCGCTCGAGCCAGCTTAGTGCCTTTCGATGTTTGTGTTATCGTTTTGGTCGTGTATGAAGATGCTACATGAAAAATGACTTCAATCGCTCATGCAATCAGATTCAGAGATACATACATTATTCAGTTTTCAGTATTCAGAAATCAGAATTTTTCAGATGATTCCCAGGTGCTTTCTCAGAACAGTCCGGATGATCTTCGTGACGAGATCGCGCTCACACGACTCACGGTCCTCTGGCTCCCATAGTGGAACCCCAGGAGGGCGCCGGTCGCAGTTGGGGCCAGTTTTGGAGAGACCTCGGCGGCCGCGCGCGATAGCCTTCGCGAATCCATCTCGCCAGCCCAGCCCAGCGCAAAGGGCACGTACAGCGCGACTCCCACCAGCAAGCCGCAAACGATGATTCCCGCAGAGTCGGCGGCCTCGACAAGCGTCACGTAGCATACGGCGAGGGAAACCGCGATCGGGAGGGAGAGAAATAGGGAGAGCGGTAGCGTGCCGCTCAGGGGGATGTGGTAGGCCCGTGCGAGCTCAGGCCGCGACACGCGCAGCTTGATCAGGGCGACGAACTCGAGCGCCGCGGCGGCGGCGGAGAAAAAGTTGTCGATGCAGAGGATGGACTCGAAGTCGAGCGAGACCAGCAGGGCGATGATGACATACCTGCAGGGTAGCAGAGATGGGGCGTTGACGGCACATACCCGACTGAGTAGCTTGCTTGTTGCCTTGTGACTGGAGTATGACGTGTGTGTGTGTGTGGGGGGGGATCTCAATATTGCATCTGGAATGACGCACTGGAGCATGATGATGCGCACCGGAGTGTCGCGCGCCGACACGCCACCTAAGAAGGCGGGGGCGAGGCCCATCTCCACCATACCAAGCAGCTGGTACGAGTCCTCCAGCAGCTCCGCAGCAAACAAGCCCCAGTTGCCCAAGGTGGACGTGAGCAACATCCACGCGCCTAGCCGAAGAGCACTGGAGTGAGCGATGTGATGAGAGTCGACGAGCGGTCGCAGTCCGAGCGCCACCTAGCCACGGCCCGCCGTATTTGCCAGCCACGCGTAGCAACGAGCCGTCAACCCAGCAGTCCCAGTCCGGGTCCAGACCGACACTGACAAAGAGCGGCAGCAAATATGATGCAACGATGGCGAGCAGCGCCAGGAAGAGCGCGAGGGGAAAGGTGCGGTTAGGCTCATCGACCTCGCCAGAGACAGTGGAGGCGCAATCGAAGCCGCTCAGGTTCCAGTAGAGGATGGAGAGCCCGCGGCGCCTATGGAGAGGCGGCGATGGCAGTGGAATGTCATGGACGCGCACGATCTGATTCCAGTGAGGAGTAATGCTACGCGCCAGTTCAGGGTGCGCACAGGCAGTAGGAAGTAGGAAAGGTCGAGCCGCGGCAGGCCGACGACGCAAAGCGCAACAAAGGGCGCCATGGCGATGAGGCTCATCGAGGTGAGCATGTTGCCGACCAGTGCCGAGGAGAAGACGTTCGGCAACACAAACACTGTGAGAACAGCGAGCTTTACGCCGTACTCTGTTGCGCAGCCGCTGCCTTCATCGAGCATGCAAGCCCAGAGGTTGCTGTGCGAGGCCGGTGATGAGCTGTTGCCACCGACTGGCCCCACGCCCTCATCGTAGCTATAACTTGACGGTGCTGTCTCATTGTGTGCTCGGCAATAAGCTCCTGTGTCGTACGAGTCGTATTGCAGCGCCGAGGAGCCGAGACTGCTGAGCAGCTGCTGCGCCGCGGAGTAGAGGAGCACGGGGTAGATCGCAGTGTCCACGACGCCAGAGCACCAGCTCCAGTAGCTTTCCTGCACCCCCCAGAACGTGCCGAAGGCGGTCTGAACCCAGATTGAGTACCCTCCATTGACGGGGAATGCCGTGGAGAGCTCGGCAGTCATCATGGCCTGTGGCATAGAGAAGCAGAACGCAAAGGCGACCACCATGAGGAGCCCACGGATCGGCCCAAACGAGGAGACTGCGCCCTCCGACCCCAGAGGCCCTCCACTCACGTTGAAGAAGACTATGCTCACAACGGCCAGAAGGCGAAGCGGCTTTGGCCTGGTCGACTTTGTTGGCGTTTCGATGAGGACGGGAGCGGGGATCTTCTTGCTCCTCGCTCCAGACCCCTCCCTTCCCTCCATCTGCTCCCGCCTACAGCGACGCTCGCATCGCGGGCGTTCCGTTCATTCACGGCTGCTGTTACGCGCGGTGTGTGTGGGGGCGTGGTGGTGGTGGTGGTGGTTGTGGGTGTGTGGGTGTGTGGGTGTGTGGGTGTGTGGGTGTGTGGGTGTGTGGGTGGGTGTGTGGGGGGGTGGGGGGCTTCTATTTTCTGCGTCGATCGGTCACAAGCTGGAAGCTGACACAAGCTGGCGCTCCAACGCCTGGAAGCTAGCCGTCAGCCGGGCCCCGCCGACGTCGGTGACATCTGTCACAGGCCGTGGCCGCTGTAAAGGCTGATCTTGCCAGTTACGCGGTGGGTGCGCCGAGTAGAATCCTGTGATGTCGGTCTCGCGTCTGGGGAAGAGCCCGGGGCAGCCGCTCTTTCCATAGTCAAAGAGCGGGGTGGCCGTACCGTGCCTCCAGTCGGTGTTGGGCTGTCGCGGTGGCTGGTAGGAGGGGTCCTGCCGGTCGGCGTAGCTCAGGTGTGGAGCCACCGCATTGGTCCGGCCGTAACCTGCCCGCGCCTCCTGCTGAGGCGGATCACCTGTAGTTAGGAGGAGGGTATGGGGTGAGAGAGTGAGTGACCGTGACTACAGGTGAACTGACTACCTGGAGGAGGTGAGCTGTAGTTAGGCGGATCACCTGTAGTGCAGTGGGCCATGTTCCGTGACCAGCCAGGGCCGGACGTGCCCACCGAGATATCCGTTGAAGGCCTCCCAAAGTAGACGTTGCTGTTCGACACGGGGTGTGACGCCACTGCTGCCTGTGGAAAGATGCTCCAGTCTTTGGGGTTTGCTCGGCGCGGCGGCGAATAGCCTGCCCGTGGATCACGCTGCCCCTGGGATACCACCTGCGTGCTGATTCCTCCGAGGCCGGCCAACTCCCCGTGCGCCCGCTGCTGCATGTCGCCCATGTTTTTGCTCATATTGATCACGGTGCCGTCGAAATATGCCCCAATCTCGCCGTTTGTGCGACGGCCATGCATCGCAGGCTCGCCGATTCCGGAGCGCTGATACTCCTCATGCCACTTCCGAGGATCCTGCCGTTTTTCGACCTGCCCCGGACTTACGACTGCGCCTGCGTGAAGATCAGAGGTTCGCCGCCCGTGGTATTGCAGGTGCTCCACATGACCGGGAAAGGGTCTTGCCCGACCAAATATCTCCTGTCCGGCCGTGTCTCGCTGCGACCGGGCGCGCTGTCCAGGGGGCCGAAAGCATTCATAGAAGGGCAGACCCTCAACGGTCATCGCGGACGGCTCGGCTTTACAGTGCGCTCCAAAACCTGTACTGGCTGCCCCCTGAGGCGAGGCGGCGAGGTGGCGTAACCGAAAACATACAATTGTATGAGTCTTCGGCGGGCGCCGTCTTCGGCGGGCCGCTGCAGCCCCGCTGCAGACTCGGTCCGGAGGCCTGCCCCGAGCCGACGCGCCGGCCGGCCGAGGCCTCGATATTCATAATCAACGGGCAATGCTCGCAGCTGCTCTGCTCGTGGCGTGCACGCATGGCACGCCGCTGGCCGTGCGAGCAACTCCTACTGAGGCAGCGACGGGAACGGCGCACGAAAGTGTTGTGAGAGCCGTTCAGGCTGCGACAGATCCCATCAGCGCTGCAGAGGCGCTTACGTCCTTCATGATTTCTGCAATGTCGGGCAAACTCGCACAGGACAGCCTGACGGCAGCGGGCGGCGTGGAGGCGATTGCGCTTCACCTCATCTCGGGGGACAGCAACACTCGAGGCGCCGCCGCCCTCGCGCTCGCCCATCTCACCTCCAATGTCGAGGGCGTGGCAGAGGAGCAGCCCGTGGCTGCACAGGCTGCTCTGGTGAAGGCGGGTGCCATCGGCACGCTGGTGTCGTCGCTCTCGCACGAGACGGACTGGACGCTGCTGGAGGCGACCATCCACGCCCTCTACAACGCGCTCGTCCTCTGCGAGCCCGCGCAAGACGCCCTCGTCGACGCGGGCGGCGTCGAGGCGCTCAGTCTCCAGCTCAATGACGTGCGGCTCTCGAAGAAGGCTCGCAGTGCAGTCCTCCTCACCCTCCGAGCGCTGAGCTCGCTGGCGCGGGTCAAGGAGGCGGTCTTGGACGCGGGCACCATCGACGCACTCGCCGCCTTTGCCGCCGCCAACCGCGATGATGAGGTCGTGCAGCAAGAGACGTTCAACGCGCTGTACGAGCTTGCGCAGGCGCGTGCGCATGCATCACCCTCGCACACCGTCCTGGCCCTGTCCCTGTTTGAACTCCCGCACAAGCCTCCGGCCCCGCGCCTTTTCAATCACCGCACGTCGCCACCGCACCGCAGGAACACCACCGGAATGCGGCCAAAATGCGAGAGATGGGGATCCGCTTCTCCAAGGAGGGGGAGGGAGAGAAGAGCAAGTTTAAGGCGCTGCACGACGCGCTGCACGAGAAGCAACGGCAACGGCGCTCCGCCGCCTTTGAGGAGCTCGGCCGCGAGGCTGCCGGTGCGAGGCCTACGCCGTACGCGCGCCGCCTCTTTCCGGCCGCCTGCATCGGCGCGCTCCTCGCCCTGGCTCTCGCCGGGTGGCGCGCCGCGGCGCGGAGGCAGCCGGCGCGCAAGGGCCAGCGGCACGCTCGAGAGCGAGCGAAGAAGAGCAGAGCGGCAGCGCCAGCGGGAGGCGGAGGGGTAGGGGGGGGCGCGTCACCGATGGGCTCGTACGTGGACCGAGCGCGGCGGCGCGGATGATCGGAGCCGCGGGGGGGTGGGTTCTCTTCCTCGTCCGGAAAATCTATGATTCCGGGCCTCCGGCGCTGCTCCGCTGTGCAGCGGCCTGTCGAGTCGCGGTGCCGGTGCGCGGTGGGGGCTCGGTCGGGGCACGGGGAGCGCCGGTTTTTTATTGCCCACCCCACCCCACCCCACCCCATCCCGGCTCGACGGGTGCGGGTGGTGCGGCCATGCGGATGCATGCACGCATGTGTGCACAGGGGGCGAGATACCCACACACACAGAGAGGGCCGGGGCACAACTACGGCTTTAGGTAAGGTAAGGTAAATTTCTCCACACAAAGTGGTGGGGCAAGGGGGGGGCGACCCTCGCATCTCCACACCCGGACACGGGCAGGAGCCCCACGGCATTCAAAGTGCAAGCACTGGCCCGGTGCACGTGTGGGTGAGCACAACTCAACATGCACATGTGCGCACCACACACATGTAACATGTTGTGCATGCACACAAATGTGCATGTGCATGCGGGGCGCGCTGCCGCTGGAGGACCCGTCGGATGAACCACACAGGGATTTTAAGGAGAGGAGTGTGGTCGTGCTACTGCTACGTGCTACGGCTTTAGCCGTCGCCCACCCTTGGAGCATATATGCAATATGCGGTCCATATTGGAGCAGGAGGTTGGGGAGCTCTCCTCTCGCGCAAGGGCCACTCTGGGCGATAAAATTCTTTTGCCGGCAAAATTCTTTCGTCCGCGCGAGCGATCGGGGGGTTCCCAGCTTCCCACAGGGCTGCCGGCCCGCACGACACTATCTCTGCATCAAGCCAGTGGCCTCACGACACTATCTGCATATATGCAGCAGGGGCCTCCCAGAGAGCCTCGCCGCCAGCCTCGTCAGGCTCCGAGCCGTGCGTGCCAGCAACCACGGCGGCGGTGCTAGAGTTGCTGCAGTGAGGAGTGAGTGCCAGCGTGTCACACCACGCCATGGCACCCCTCGACACCTGAGGTGTACTCACTGCCCCGGCGCCCACGTCTCGATCTTCTTGGGCAGCAGCTGGTTGGACAGCTCCTCCCCGTGGCCTAGGCAGCCCTGTTCGCCCCTGCCCCAGGTAAAGACGTCGCCGTCGCCGGTGAGGGCGAGGCTGTGGTGCTGTCCAGCCGACGCGGCGATGACGGGCTGGTCAGCAAAGGCCTCGACCTTCTTGGGGCGCAGCCGTGGGAGAAGCAACAACTGCTCTTGCTGGTCGCCGTGGCCCAGCTTGCCCTCCCCTCCATCGCCCCAGCTGCAGACGGCGCCGTCGGCGGTGATGGCGAGGCTGTGGTTGTCTCCTGCCGACACAGCGACGACGCGCTGGCCAGCCAAGGCCTCGACCTTCTTGGGCAGCAGCAGGCTCCGGTGATCGCCGTGGCCCAGCTGGCCAAAGGATCCCAAGCCCCAGCTCCAGACGGCGCCGTTGGCGGTGAGGGCGAGGTTGTGGCTCTGTGCAGCCGTCACAGCGACGACGCGCTGCCCAGCCAGCGCCTCGATCTTCTTTGGCAGCCACTGGTTCTGCTCGTCGCCGTGGCCCAACCGGCCTCGCCTTCCATAGCCCCAGCTCCAGACAGCTCCGTCGGCGGTGAGGGCGAGACTGTGCACGGCTCCAGCAGACACAGCGACGACGCGGCGCCCTGCGAACGCCACGATCTCCTTGGGCAGCAGCTGGTTCTGCTGGTTGCCGTGGCCCAACCTGCCGGAGTATCCTTCGCCCCAGCTCCAGACAGCGCCATCGGAAAGGGCGAGGCTGTGGCGGGATCCTGCCGAGACGGCGACGACGCGCTGGCCAGCAAAGGCCTCGATCTTCGTCGGTTGCAGCTGCTCCTGAAAGTCGCCGTGGCCCAATCGGCCAGAGGCTCCAAAGCCCCAGCTCCAGACACTGCCGTCGGCGGCGAGGGCGAGGCTGTGCGCGGCGCCAGCCGACACACTCACGGCGCGCTCGCCGCCCAGCATCGACGGGAGGCGGGTCGGCGTGTTGAGCTGTGTCACGCCCTCACCGTGGCCCAGTTGCCCTGGAGTGTAGGACGGCGCCGAGCCGCACGAAGAGAGCCGCCCCTCGCCGTCGATGAAGAGGCTGTGGGAGGAGCCTGCCGCCGCCCTCGCTGGCGGGTTGGACTCGCACAGCAGCGCCGAATAGCACAGCCACCGCACGGTGCAGCTCTCGCCCTCTGGCTGCGCCGGCAGCTCGAAGCCGCGCTCTTGCGCCCACAAGCGGATGCCCTCCGCCGCGAGCGAGGCGTGGAAGAGCAGCGAGACGGCCGCGACGCGAGCGATGTCGGCGGGGTCGCAGCGAGAGACGACGCGCACGAGGAGCTCCGTGGGGAGGTCGAGGAGGCGGGCGGGCGGCGGCGTGCTTGGCGAGGGCGCGGCGGTGGCGGCGGAGGCGAGGCGACGCGAGCGGCGCAGCAAGGCAGACATGCACACAACTCTCACGAATACTTGATTTTTCACGCCGTCTTGAGCACTTGAGCACTTGATAGGGTCGATTCCGCATGGTACGGGACCCCTCGATCGTCTCGCCCTCCCTCACTGGTGTGTAACAATCGTGTTCAAGCGGCCCTCCTGTGAGCTGGTACACCAAGAATGGCTTACCACTGCCAGGGTCCACACTGTGGCAAGCTGTGATGAGCGTGGTTTGGCTTGTGCAGCCCATACGGACCTGGTATATACACACATATGCGGCCACGTGTCGGCCGGTTCGGGGCACGAACCACGCTTCATAAGGTGCAGGTGTACACCTTGTACCGACACAGAGGTAGGCGCGCAGCGCCCACACCCTCTATCTACCTAGGTGTGTGAGTGAATGCTATACCTTCAGCGCACCTTATATCGAGGTACCCTCCACATGTCCACACCGGCACCTGGGCTACTCTCGAGACGTTCACACCGGCGGTGCATGCGAATAAGGTGTGCACCGCCCGTCGACAGCCTCAGCTCTCATGCCGCCAGCCAAGAAGACCTCCTCGACCACAAGTTCTCGCTGCCGCTGCACTACGCGGTCTACATCGCCGAGGTGGGCTGCAAGAAGGTGGCGGCCGCCAACGTGGAGTCCGTCTTCTCAGGCGCTGGCAAGTTCACGCTGGAGGCGACGTCTACGGGTGCGGTGTACCTGCGGCTCGATCGTCAAGGTGCACAACAACTGGAAGTACCCGTGCTTGCGGCCCACCGAGAAGGCGATCATCGCGCGCTACATGCTGAAGTACGCCAAAGGTATATCGGCTGCACCGTCCTCCACCTCGCCGAACCCATCGAGCTCCGACGCTGCCGCTTCGGCTGCGCCATCCTCGGGCTCGGCCGGCCCGTCAACCTCCGGCCACGCCGCCGACCCACCCTCCGCCGACCCGCTCGGTGGCGCCGACATGTCGCTGCTCCAGCGCGCCGGTGTTCTCCAGAACACGCCATATGATGCATGAGTGAGTAGCGTGTCGGGCGGGGCCGTCGGGAGGGGCGAGCGTGTGTCCGGCGAGGCGCCCATACCTGACCCGTAACTTTTTACCGAGGTTGCGCGCGGTGTCCTATACCTCCACCTTAGGTAAGTGGCCCATGTCTGTACCTTACTGTACCGCTACCTAAGTGTGCTGGCCAGCGCCCACACCGGCACCGGGGGTAGGGTCAGAGGGATTGCACCCAAGGTGTTGAGGTGGGCTACTTATGAAGTGTGGGGCACGAATTCCGGCCTTTTTCCACGGCCTAACAATCGTTGCTGTAGTGGCGCCAATGGCCGCCTCCCGTCGCGCCATTGGCACCCTAGCCAGCAGTAGCACCGGAGGCAACACCACCAAGCCCACAAGTCACAAGAGTGACGGAGATGCTTGCCACGAGCACCGTGACGCCCGACCCTGTGAGCACCGTGGGCGTATACCGCTGCATACGGTGAGATGATGCACAGCATGGCCAGACGAGGGATGCAAGGCTCGCCAGCTGTATGTTAGTGAGGTATATGGATGTGATCAACATGTGTGCGTCACAGGTACGCGCAGCAGCGCATGTAGCCGCTGATATCGAAGACAGCGCAAACAGGTCTTTTTGCGCCACGCACCCGATGGCCGTGCAGGTCCAACTGCGTGCACAGGAATGCTATCAGCGCGTCTCCGCCATAACTGGACATGGCAATGAAGCAGCTGAGACGTGACAACACCGGTGCTGGGCCAAGGAGGTGCCGCTCACCGCCGATTGTTAGGACTGTCGTCGAAGGCGAGCGGCGGTCGCCGGGCAGCAGCTCGTGGCGATCGTCGATCCGCGAGCTGCCAAGCTTGTCACAGGCCGGCACTGGATCGAGGACGATGGCGCCGCGCGGCTGGAGGCAACGGAGAAAGGCATTGTGGAGCGGCGAGGCGATTGTTAGGAATTTCGAGGCGCGGAAAAATCCGACAGCCCTGCAAAATCAAGTATTCGTGCGGTCATGTATCGGAAAAAAATGAAAATCGTGCCACGGGACGGCGCGCACTTTCAACAAGAATTCTTGGAAAAAGACTCTCTCACTGGCACAACAAGGGCGCGGACTGGCGCGCGGACTGGTACACACACCGGCACACCACCGGAGCCGCCTAAGCGACTCCGTTACAAGTACATGCTAACACAAAACTCTCTCTCTCTCTCTCAGTACATATGTCGAAGATGTCGCGCGAGCGGCAGCGCATGTGTCTCGCGCAGCGCGGGGTGCGGCGCAAGGGCGTGCAGAAAAATGCGGTTGGCAACTACGTCGCTGAGATGGCCAACAACCTTTGGCAGACAAAGTACCCCGCGTTCGGCGAGCTGAGCGTGGCAGCGCGGCGTGAGCACTGGTCGACGATCTTCCGGGCGTACAAAGCCATGTACGTATGTATCTGAGGAGTGAGGTGAAGAACAGCCAGGCTCGGTCGGTCGGCGCGACACACACACTCGGACCACTGGACAGGCGCGGTGTGTATGTGTGCCTCACAGCCACACAGCAGGCAGGCTGAGCGCCTCTCCTCTCGGCTTCCAGTCTCGGCGAGACCGTTCTCTGAATGAAAATGCGCCCGACTTTCTACCTACTCGTGATCCAACCCGCCACCCCCCTCGCCTCGTCACCCTCCCGCCGCCTCGCCACTACATCGCCCGCTCGCGCCCGCCCGACTTTCTACTTCCTCGTGATCCGAACCGCGCCACCCTCGCCTCACCCCCGCCCTGGCGAGGTACTTCCAGCCTGCTGTGGGAACAGCTGACGCAGTCTCGCCGAGGCTCGCCCCAGCACTCTCTCGGGTTGACTCGGCCAGACAAAAACCCCGAGAGGCGTGGGAGTACCTCGCCAGCCCCCGCCCCCCGCCCAGCCGTTCGCGGCGGAGCTGGAGAGAAGAGCCGCACACCAACGACACAAATATGGGCCGCTCCCCCATATTGGGCCGCTCTCCCGCGCTCTCTCTGGCCCTGGTCGCCCTCTCCTCGGCGAGCGGCTCGGACGACTGGTACCGCGGCGCCACGCACATCGACGAGCTGCGCGAGGCATCCGACCGGCTGCAGGAGGGCACGCTCGACGAGCACGCGTTCCAGACGTTTGTGCGGCAGGCGGAGCGGGCGCCGGACGACTGGCGCGGCCACGCGATGCTGGGCCAGGCGCAAACCAGCCGCGGGTCGCACCAGGCCGCGGTCGCCTCTCTCAAGCGGGCGCGCAAGCTCGCGCCGGACGTGCCGCAGGCGGACGCGCACGGCAGACCCACGCCGGGCGCTCCCTCCCGACACTGTGGCGCCCGCTCCTCCGACCGCCGCTGTCCGCACCCTCCCACCCTGCGCGCTCCACAAGTCTGGACGCGTCCCGGCCGTGTGTCTCGAGGTTGCGACGGCGCTGGCGACGGCGCACGACGCTCTCGCCGCGGCGCTGCTCGACGCTCCGACGGCCGCCAACCTCACGCTCGTCAACCTCACAAAGCAGCAGCGGAGGCGGGCGGCGAGGCGGCCGCGCGAGGCGGTGTGAACAGAGGCCGTCCGCAGAGCCCCCTCGGGAGATGTGGGGAGATGTGAGTAGGTCCTTGCGCGAGGCGATTGCCCTCCGGTCTCACGCCGAGGGGACGGGCGCCGGCGCCGGCGCCGACGTTGCGGCCGCCGCCACATCGCACCACCGTCTGTCTCGGCTGCTGGTGCGAGCCCCTCGGCCGGGAGCAGCTGGAGATATGGGGAGACATGAGGAGATCTGGGGAGATCTGGGGAGATCTGCCCCTCGGCCGGGAGCAGCTGGACTGAGGCGTCCAGGCCGGTCAGAGCCCTGAGGCCGCCCGCTGTCCGCTCTCCGGCGCCGAGGTGCGGCGGGAGAGGGAGTGCGGTGGGCGCGGGAGTGCGGCCGCCTGGATGTCGTACGACGGATCGACGGCCAGGCACACCCGGAAGCAGCCTTGCAGCGCCTCGCACGCGTCGCCAGACCCGGGGTCAAGGAGTAGGACCCAAACCAGCGCCCGGTTGCTGCTGCTGTTACGTCTTCGGTCCCCGCGGGAAGCCCCGCGCATAGGACAACAACGTCTGTCCCACACACACACAGACGCGCACATACATCATGCTCGGGCACACCCCACAGTGTAGTGGTGTGAGTACACAAGTACTAGCAGAGTGCACACCTGCCTTGGCGGGTGAGGGCTCCAAACCAGCGCCCGGGACTCCGACCTAGCCGTGTCGCAGTCGCCTGTCTCGAGAGGACACGTACCCCGCTGTATTCCGCCGTACTCCGCTGTATTCACTGTCCTCGCCCCCCTCGTCTTCCCGCGGTCCTCTGAAGACACTGCACAGCACCGTCTCCCCGCCCCGAGGCTGGCGTACTCGGCTTGCCAGGCGGTTCGGTTGGTTCGAGTATGTATTCGATGATTCGAAACCAGGCGAGCGACCCGCTGCTCGAGCTCGCGGCGCCGGAGGACATCGACGACCGCGCGGCCGAGGCGGCGGCGGCGGGCGAGCGAGCGCGCGCTCCGCGAGACGCTCTGCTAGACCGTTCCTTTGGCTTTCCCTCCAGGTGTGCGGCGGGCGGGGCCGAGGTGCTGCGAGAGCGAGTCGGGCGCGAGGCCGACGCGAGGGCGTCACTGTAGGTGGCGGCGGCGGAGCGGCGCGCCACCGCGCCGCCGACGCGTCCCAGAGCTGAGTCTGTCTCGGAGCTGCTGTCTGCAGGTGATGTCGGAGGCGGTGCGTCACGCGCGGACGGCGGCGCGCCTCGACCCTGCCAGTGCGGTGTACGCCGCGCGAGCGAAGCAGTTACGCGGCTTCGAGGAGGCAACCGCCGCAGCAGAACTGCAACCCCTCGCCCCGTCCCACCCCGTCGGCACTCCCTCTCTCTCTCTGCACTCTCCGCGCCGCATCGCACCAGAACCACAATCCCTCGCCCCGTCGCACCCTGATGGGAAGCGATCGAGCTGTTTTTGCAGCTTTTTGCCAGTCAGGGTTAGGGTTAGGGTTAGGGTTAGGGTTAGGGTTAGGGTTAGTCCCTTGGACGCCGAAGACCCGTGGGGGGCCACCGTTTTTGGCCCCCCCCCCCCCCCCCTCCTCTCTCCCCTGCCCTCTAAGTCTCCATGGCAGCGGCGGTTGGCCACCCCCGTCCCGCCCCGCCGCCCCGCCGCCCCAGGCGCTCCGAAAGTACCGCGAGGCCGATCGGCGGAGCTACAAGGACGGAGACCCCGCACACACACACACACACACACACACACACACACACACACACACACACACACACACACACACACACACACACACACACACACACACACACACACACACACACACACACACACACACACACACACACACACACACACACACACTCACTCACTCACTCACTCACTCACTCACACACACACACCGCTCACCCACGCGCACTGGGCCTTGCACTTTGAATGCCGTGGGGCTCCTGTCATTAGACGTGGAGACGCGAGGGTCGCCCCCCCTTGCCCCACCACCTCGTGTGTGTGGAGAAATTTACCTTACCTTACCTTATCGTAGGACCGGGAGGCGGCGGTGCACGCGATGCACCGGCAGATGGAGGAGAAGCGCGAGGAGGAAGAGGAGGACGAGGCGGTGCGCGCAGAGGAGGCGGCGGAGGAGGCCGCGAGGCGACGAGCGAAGCAAGAGCTGCGGTAGGCGCGTATTGGGCGGTGGCTCGTGTTTGCGTGAATAGAGTGGAGTGTGAGCGGTCAGAGCTGCACTGGCGCCGAGGTGTTGCTGAGCGGAGCCGCCGAGTCGTCTCTCTCGCGTGTGGGTGTGCCAGACGGCTGAGCGCGGGCGTCACGGTAGTGTGAGCGTGCGTGTAAAGTATTTTACCTTGACTACTTCTGAGACCTACAGCTAGAGGCACAACAGCCGTGCTCGGGGAAGCACTGGTCACACCGCCGGCACCGAGGAGCGGGCCGCGATCTCGAGCCCCAGCCGTGTCGACGATGGCAGAGCGGTCGGCGAGGAGCAGCAGCGCCGCCTGCGGGATCGAAAAGAGGCCCAGCTGCACGTTGCGCATCCAGAGCGAGAGCAGCGCCTCGATTAAGCCCACCTCGTGGTGCCTGCGCCGGGCGGGTCACGCCGCCGAGGGGGCGGGATGTCTGCCTTGAGGGCATGCACGCGCGCGCAAAGGGCATTCACGACTGCAGGAGAGGGACGAGTGTGTTTGCCGCCGACGCAGCTGTCACGAGGGACTCTCGCTCGAATGAGATAAAGGCGAAATCCTGCTCGCCACAACCCCAAAAAGCTCACTTGTATGGCTGCTTGTGCTGCCTGCTTGGCAGCACAAGCAGCCACACAACATCCGCTTCATCTCGCCTCCTAGTCTCGCCTCCTAGTCTCGCCTCATCTCGCCTCACCTCGCTTCATCTCGCCTCACCTCGCTTCATCTCGCCTCACCTCGCCTCATCTCGCCTCACACCTCGCCTCATCTCGCCTCACCCGCTCGCCTCATCTCGCCTCACCTGACACCTCGCCTCATCTCGCCGAGGTACACCTCGCCTCATCTCGCCTCATCTCGCCTCATCTCGCCTCATCTCGCCTCATCTCGCCTCATCTCGCCTCATCCAGCGCGGCACTAAAGTACTTGCCGACAGAATCTCCTCCTTAGTGATACACGTGGCATCCTGACCAGAGAGATTGGCGAGAACGTTCGCATCGCGCGCCAGCGCAGCCGCGAGAGCTTGCAGTCTCAGCCGAAGCAGGACGCTGCAGACAGGGTAAGGGCTCGAGAGGAGCGCCTCAGCCTGCGAATGTAGGGCTGACGTGGAATGTAGGGCTGACTGCTCACGTGGGTGCGTGTTGATCGGAGCCTCAGGGCTGACGTGCGAATGTAGGGCTGACATTCCCTTGCACGCCGCGGTCTCTCGAAGGTGTTGGGAGCTTTGCCTCCCAGCGAAGGCACCCTTCATCAAGGACGGAAAAAGTATTCATAGGCGATACAGGTGACGCGCCACTGGCATCCCTCCCTTGGGTTGTGTGTTTTCTTTCTTTTTCGCCACTGGCAAGCGGTGGGGATCCCTCTCGAGTCGCTCGGGACGGAGCGCTTCCCTGCGCTAGCCGCCTGTCATGGGTGCGGCGGCAAATTTCGCACACTGTGTTCGACCGGGCTGTGAAATCGCCTCTCCTCTTCTTTCTCCTCTTCTTGTATGCTAGAGAGTTCTTTTGTTTAAATTCTTGTATGCTTTGTACATCGCGTCGATTCCTTTTCGCGTGAGCACCACCCTGAAGCCCGCCCAGCAGCTGAACCGCTCCCTAAGTCGAAGGAGCATCATCAGTCTCACCCACTTCGCTCGCTGCCCACTGTCTCCGCTCCCTCCCGCTTGAGCTGCGGTCGCGGCCCTCGTTCGTCCCACTGGCTGCTGGTCTGTCTGCAAGTTACCTCCGTTATCCCTCCTCCTAGGGCGAGGGCGAGCTAAGCTCGGATAGCGACTCGGACGGGGGGGAGGAGGGCGTGGACTGGTTTGCGGGAGACCCTACGTGGGGCTCGGCGGCGCTGGAGGACGAGTGGCGCGCCGCGTCTCTCGCGAGGCAGGCGGTAGGCGACGCGGCGTACGCCGCGGCGCATGCTGCTGGCGCTTCGCGGGCTGAGGCGTGCGACGCCGCCGTGAGGGCGGTGAGGTTGGACGAGGTTGAGGCTCAGTCCTCGTTCCTCGTGCGCGCTGGGTGGTACGGCTCCGGCCGTGATGGGGGCGGGGAGGGGGCGGGGGCGACGGCCGCACGGAATCGCCGCCGGCGGGGGGCGAGGGCGCGGGCGAAGGAGGAGGAGCCAGAGCCCGGGGAGGATTGGGAGGGGGAGGAGCGGCCGGAGGAGTACGCCGGCCTCTTTGACGACCCGTAAGGGGCCGTCGCCTGCTGTGCCATTTGTAGTGCCAGTCCGAGCCAGTCTGCTGTGAGAGGGGCTGGATCGTAAAATTCTTCTTCTGGGCATGCGGCTGCTGAGACACCGGCTGCGACAAATCGTCACTAATCTCGACGGCCGCGCGCTGCGGACCGATATCCTCACCGCGGGCGGCATGGGCTGCTGCGGCGACCTTCTCTGCCAGCATGCGGTCGAAGGGAAGCAGCGGCATGACACCGACTGGCGGCGCCTGTATGCCGTCACCACCTTTGAGGCGCTCTACATGGGAGGCCTTTTCCACGGCTTCTGTCAGGCGTTCCCTCTGGTGGTCTCCTTTGCCGGGCGGAAGCTTGCCCACGGCCCGCTGCAGGCGACCGACAGTGCGGCCCATGCGCTCGGCTGCGCGGTGGTCGACACGCTTCACGACGGGACCGTGATGATCCCCTGCTACTTTCTGGGCGTCGGCATGCTGCAGGGCGACACGCTGGCCGAGGGCAGGGCGAACCTGCGGAGAGAGTGGCTCAACTCTTGGGCCGTGGGCGCCAGCTTCTGGATGCCGTTCATGTACTGCAACTTTGCGTACGTGCGCCCGCAGTACCGCGTGCGCCTGATGGCCGTCGCAAACACGGTGTGGAGCGTCTTGATAGATTACATGGCGCACCGGAGCAAGGGCCGCTTGCCCGACTGACGTCTGAGGCGGCGAGGGTAAGCGCAGCGCCATTAGCATTACCATGGGTAAAACTGATATTCGCATGGATATTCGACGACGATCGACATTCAACTCGTCACTAAGGTAAGGTAAGGTAAGGTAAGGTAAACTTCTCCACACACACGAGGTGGTGGGGCAACTCGTCACTCGTTACTACAGTGCTGTAAATGTACGGTACGAGTAGTTTAGAGAACGAGATTACCCAGGGCGCTTGTATCCGGCAGCCGTGGGCGTGGCCCCTACTGGGCTGGGTTTTTAGGCATTGTGGGGTTGGCACTCCCATCGACCCTCATGACCTCCTGCGGTCTCTGAGATGGACACCAGTGGGTGTGGGACCACAGCCAGGATACACTCGAAGGCTGGGTAAGCAGTAGAGGTCGATACTCGACGCGTCCCACATGGTCTGTGTCGCTGTCGGCACGCTGTCGACAGGACGTCGAGCGACACCGGTGGCAGTGCCACCCAGGAGTGGTCGGGCGGTCTCCCGTCATGAAAGAGCCACCATGTGATCCGTATGATGATTCCTGACAACCGACTCAGTCAACTTTCGTCACAGTTCCCGCTCTGAGAGGAGCTGCGGGTCAGTTCGACAGCTGGAGCTGTGTCGCCGGCGTGCGGCGGCCTGCCTCCGGAGGTGCCTCTGAGGTGGACTTTTTTTGGTCACCGTGAGAGAACGCGTTCGAATTTTCACTCCGGAACTTCAACTCTGCACGCGCACCGGCCAGGGCTACAATAGTGCCAGTGAGGCGGAGGCGCGAGTCGGAAGGCCGCGACCGTGATTTGGTCCCTCCATTTTCCTACAATCGCTGTGAAGGTAAGGTAAGGTAAGGTAAACGTCTCCACACACACAAAGTGGTGGGGCAAGGGGGGGCGACCCTCGCATCTCCACGCCCGGACACGGGCAGGAGCCCCACGGCATTCAAAGTGCAAGCACCGGCCCGGTGCCGTGGGTGAGCAACCTGCACCCCACTCCTACTCCTATAACACAACCCCCACAGCGTGGTCGTCTACGTGTTCAGAAACACCAAGCAGCGAGGCGAGGGTGAAGGGGTAAGGGGCTGTGTGGGGCTATCTGTGACCATCTAGCCTGGGGGGTAGCAGGAGGGGGGGGCAGAGGGTAAGATATGGGTGAGGCCAGCTACAAGTCGGACGCCCTCCCGTCGTCGCTGTGAACCCAGCCACGTAACAGTACGTGCGTCGTGCTCGTCCCGGACGGTAAAGTACATAAAAAACACAATAAAAGCATTAAGACCGAACTAAACTGTACAACGAGAATCAACCAACAAGCGTGAACACGACAGTTGACCTATGTCCATATGCCCCGTGCAGGACGAGACGGCGAGCCCCGCTGAACGCCTGAAAATCGCCGAGTCGGCGACGAGTCTCACTGCACCACTCCCTTGGCCTTGAGGTCGGCAATCGCGTCGCTGAGGATCTGGCGCACCCCTCGCATCTCGCTCACGGGAAGGAGCGTGTTCATCTTGGTCAGGTCGAAGGATGTGGGCACCTGATCGAAAGCGAGCGCGCTCGCCTTCCGGCACGGGGAGGCGGATCTCGGCGCACACTTCTCGGCAAAGGCAAAGTATCCGTGCTGGGCGCGCACCACGGGCTCGCCGTCGCACGGCTCGAAGGGCGGCATCTGCGGGCAGATCTCGCGCACGATGGTGTACACGTCGTTCCAGTGGGTCGATGCGTACACGACCGCACCTGCTCCGAACCATCCGGAATCGCAACAACACGACATTTGCTCGGAGCGAGCCTCGTCTGCATGCTTCCACGGACGTGGCGTGGGGCGGGCGCACCTCCTTCTGTCCGGCGCTCGGTGGCGGTGCCGGCCACGCAAATGTACCGCCCCGCCGCCTCCGGCTTCTCGAGAGCCGCCACGTGCATCGCGGCACAGTCCCTCACGTCGACGAAAGACATCGAGTCGTTGCCGCACCTGGTGCAGGGGCAGCGGCGCTGCTCATGTAGCTACCGCGGAGCGCCACGCTCGCAGTGCGGCCGGCACGCACTTGCCATTCTTCGGCCCCTTGGTCATGCTCGCCACCCAATTCATCGTCGCGTTGACCGAAGGCTGCAGCATCGGGCCAAACACGCCCGTCGGGCAGATCGCAGCGTACCGCACGCCCGAGCCCGCGAGCGTCGCCTGCACCAGCTTCTCCTGCCGCGTCTTGGTGCAGCCATACCAGTTGTTCTTGGCCTCTTGCCTGCGCGCCGCACGCGAGGCCTCCGTTTAGGTAGCGGTGTGGCGGAGAGAGCTTGGGTCTCGCTGGATCGAGATGGGGCGCACGCACGCGGCGTCGTCGCTCCAGTGCTCCTCCGTCTTGACGGCGGGCTCCGGCTGCGGCGCCACCGCGGACATGGATGAAGTCAAGACGAAGAGCTTGATCGTGCCGGCCTTGGTGATCGCCGTGAGCAACTCTTCTGTGCTCTTCATCGCCGGCTCGTAGATCTGCGCCTTCCCGTCAGCACCGGCGCCCATCACGACCGGCGTGGCTGTGTGGAAGATGGCCACGCAGCCAGCGATGCACTCGTCGAAGCGGTCGGGCTCGCCCATCAGGTTGACACTGAAGAGCTGGAGGCGCTCGGCCGCGCCGCAGAGATTCGTGAGGTGGGCCGTCTTCTTTGCGTCGGAGGCGTCCCGCACCGTGGCTTTGACGGTGTAGCCCTTTTCGAGCAGCTGAGCAACGATGTGGCTGGCGATGAAGCCGGAGGCGCCCGTAACGCAGACGCTCGTCATGGCTGCACGAAGGCGTTTCTTTCACGGCGGGTGCCTTAAAGAAAAAAGAATTTAAACAAAAGAACTAGAAAAAAGAAGGCCGCGTTCTGAGCACACGCCGTTGCCGGAAGTGAATTCAGAAGTTGTAACTTACAGTCGCTCACCGCAACGCCAATCGTGGCGAGTCGGACATGTGAACATGACGGGTCGTTGTTTCGAGGTTGGATAAGCATTTGGGGCGTACCGATGCAACCCGTCACGTTCAGAGAGGCGTTTTAGCAAAAGTCGTTCGGTGGCGTGGAGGCGGAGAGACGGCTAATATGGTACGATTCGGTGGTACGGCATATAACAGAAACAAAGGCGCTCTCACCTGGCAACCCTGTCTGCACGTCTCGCGCGCGCGTGAACAGGGCTCCAGGCCCCAAATTACGTGTGAGTGTTAGAGTTGTTTGGTATTGCTAAAAATCTCTCTCTCTATAACAGCGAGGTCTGTGAACGTGACTCAACTGGCGGGGAGGCTTGTTTTCGGCTAAGACGTAAGCCCGAGGGGCCACCCGATCAAATCACTTCTCTAAAACGCGAGCACCTTTGCGCGTAGTACTGCGCCCCCATCCACTTCCAGCCCGTATCCGTCTTGACCCACCCCTTTCCATACGCGTGGTCTTTGACCCATCCATCCCTTTCCAGTCGAGTGGTCGAGCGGTCCGTCCACCTGACGGCCACGCTCCTTGCACCCCACTGTACGAGAGTTTCCTCTCGCACCCTGCCTGGTTTCCTTTCCGTGTTTCCTGCTAGTTTCCCTACAGCACCCTCTAGTTTCCTGGGGAAACTCCGTGGAAATCATCAGAGCGGCCGCACCTGCTCGGTACCCCCCCTGCACATCTAAAGGCATGGCCGAAGCCGCCGCCCGCGCCTCGCCTGTCGCGCGAATCGTGTCGTGCGCCGGCAGTTTTCTTTTTCCTGGGTTGTGCGAGCCTAAATTCTTTTTCCTGGGCCTGACCCGGTGCAGCGCGGCGCTGTCCAGGTCCACAGCGCGCTCCATGCCCAAGCTCACCCTTGTGGCGCGCCTGACCGATGGGTTACCGCTCGCTGCTTCAATGGAGGAGGAGAAGGACCACCGCGAGCTAGACGCGTACAAGGCTAGCGAGCGCCTCCCGCACCGCTGCTGGCCATGGGCACGTCCTCTCTCCTCCGGCCGCCTCTCGCCAATCAAACTCGGGCGCCGATCAAACGGTCGAACCACCCGCATTTGAAGCGCCCGAGTTTGCGCCTCCCCAACCGCCCGCAGGCCCAGGCCAAGAAGATCGTCAAGCAGCTGAGCGCGACTTCGCCCGCGCGCATGACGGTGCCGCCGCCGCGATTGCTCTCCTCGCCACCGCGAGGGTGGGTCCGATCTGCCGTCCCGCCACGCCTCAGATTGAGTCGGGGCAGAACAGCTTCCACTACATCCACCTCGAGGGCGTCTGCTTTCTCTGCCTCGCGGAGCGGTCGTACCCGAAGCGCCTGGCGTTCAGGTGTCCTCAGGGTTTGGGATCCCTAGCGGTAGGGTATCCAAGGAGACGGCTCCGGAGACGGAGGGGGGCGCGATGGAGGGAGTGGGGGCTCCTACCGGCACATGAGCAGAGCACCCACGCGCGACAAGAGCGGCAGCGCCGTCTCACCACGCACCCTCGCTCCACACCTCGCTCCACACCTCGCAGCGCGCTCCATCCATATCACCGTTGGTGTCCGCCATGCGCCCATTCCGCACCTCGCTCGCCCTCGCAGCTACCTGGACGACCTGCAAAAGGAGTTTCTGGGAAAGTTCCGCGACGAGATCCCCTCGGCCTCGCGCCCGTGCGCAGCCCACCCGCCGCCGGGAGGACCCTGACCCTAACCCTGACCGTGACCCTATCCCTGACCCTTTTCCCTGACCCTGGCCCTGACCCTATCCCTAACCCTTGCCGTGGCCCTTACCCTGACCCAAAACCTGGCCCTGACCCTCACCCTCACCCTGACCCTGACCCTGACCCTGACCCTAACCCTGACCCTGACCCTGACCCTGACCCTAACCCTGACCCTGACCCTGACCCTGACCCTAACCCTGACCCTGACCCTGACCCTGACCCTGACCCTAACCCTGACCCTGACCCTGACCCTGACCCTAACCCTAACCCTCACCCTGACCCTGACCCTAACCCTGACCCTGACCCTGACCCTGACCGCGACCCTAGGTATGCCTTCATCCGCTTCGACACCTTCATCCAGCGCACCAAGAAGCTGTATGTAGACACGCGCGCGCCCATATCTCCCTCATATCTCCCTCACATCTCCCCATATCTCGACTAGGTATGTAGACACCCGCGCGCCGCGCAACCTGTCAAAGCTGAACGAGGTCTGCACACCACGCACGCGCACGCACGCGCACGCGCGCACACGCGTGCGTACAACTCTGTCTGTCTCTCTCTCTCTCTCTCTCTCTCTCTCTCTCTCTCTCTCTCTCTCTCTCTCTCTCTCTCTCTCTCTCTCTCTCTCTCTCTCTCTCTCTCTCTCTCTCTCTCTCTCTCTCTCTGCCTCTCCCTCTCCCTCTCCCTCTCACTCCCTCTCTCTCTCAAT